CGTGCTCTGTGACTCATGCTGACATGTACAAAAGTCTTGTCCTTTATCTTTATCTGTCCTAGCATATCACCCCATGCTGTACGTAATAATTATAAATATTTATATTTATTTTAAATTTTTTTAATATATAAATTATTTTTTTTTAATTTCTTATAAAAATAATTTAATATTCTTATCACTAACCATAGAGTATGGGAGAAGTTGAAAAGAGTGCTATAGTAACTATGCACGAGTTGTATCTATAATTATTTGTATGAGGGGATTTTTACCAAAGCTCTCAAAAGGCATGTAGATTAGAAAAAGTTAATAAATGATGATTCAGAAATTTTAACCAAATCAATAAATAAAGGCATGTGAAAGACATGTGGATTAGAAAAAGTTAATAAATGCTAAGTTTTTTTTTTTAAATCAAAAATTTAGAAAATTAAGATTGAGATATTAAATCTCCCACAAAGCTTGGAGGTTGGAAATCTCATTTTCCTTATATATAGACTAGCCTATCACCCGTGCTATACACGAGATAATTATAGATATTTATATTTTTTTAATTTTTTTTAATATATAAATAATCGCACTAAATATTTTTACTAACATTTATGATGTCTTTATGTGTTAAAAATCCCCCATAAAAATCAGTTTTCCTACCATGAGGGCCTAAAAACAGTAATTAAGTAGAGTAGTTTGGTTTATGTTTGTAGAGTAGTTTTTGAGATAAAAAATACGAAAATTTGTTTGGTTTGTCTTTTTTCAGAAATGATTTTAAAAAATTGTTTTGGAGAGAGAGTTTTAAAAAAAGTAATTGATTTGATGTGTATGAGAGAGAGAGAGAGAGAGTGATTTTGGAAAGTAGGTAACCAAACAAAATTTTGAGATTTTTTTTGAAAAATTTTGTTTGATTTGATTACTCTTGAAAATTTGTTTGTATAGAATTTTTTTCAAATTTTTTTTTGAAAACTAAACCAAACAAGACCGAGAATCCTAATGGAGATGTTTGCTTTGTTGTACAGTTGACATTGATTTGTTTGTTGATAACCAGATGAAAGAAGTGTGGAGTGGGTTGCCCTCAAGAAAATTAATAAATAAATAAAGGAAGGAAATACATTTTTATTTTTATAAAGGGTTAGCTGTACATATCACTAGCCGTTTCATTACCAAGTTGAACAATGGTGGAGCCTGTTTGGTTCCCCTCAAATCTTTCAATTAAATCACTTCAGGGTCCACACACCACTTATTTAATTATATAACACCTAATACTTTACATCAAAGTCCACTTTTAAGAGCATGCAATTTTGACCTTACTGACCAGAAAAGTCAACAATGCCATTGGCTGACAGTGAACCTCATCAAGATTAAGGGATCAGCTAGGAGATGAAATGTGAGGCACAATTAAAGTTTGAGTTTATCTCGGTAGGTGCAATTTTCTCCTCCTCCTTTTTTTTTTTAATTTTTTTTTTTTATCAATTGCAAAAAAAATAAGAGTATAGCTATTTATATTTTTTGGATTCCTACCTTTTTGGACTCCAACTTTCAAATTTTGATTTATTATCTTATTCTCAAATATACCTTCATTTCCTAAACCCTATCTCTAGTCCTCACCTTCATGTTCGACCACCATGCTTCCTCCACTACCACCCCCTACCCTTGCGATGCACCCCTCATTGCTCCACACCCTCAGCCTCATTCTCTACTTCTTTGCACACCACCATGACCGCCAAAGTTCTTCCTTCCTTCTTCTCTCCTCTCTCTCTCTCTCTATCTCTCACACGAGGTTTGGGGTTGCAAGTGGTGAAGGTTTCAAGGGTGGCAAAGAGGGACTGCGAGATGGAGCTACAAGTTAGGCATCGTCATGTTTTAGTCAAAAGGTCATTATAAATTGTTACATCACTCTTTCTAATTTTCTAAACATTTTTTCGTAGAAAGTTAAAAAGTTATTTAAATAGCTTGTACCCCAACAAAACTTAAGTACTAAGGTAAGTTGGGAAAGGGACAATGGTGGCGGGGATGGATTGTGGAGGAGAAGTTGATGTTGGGAAAAATAAAAATAAAAAGGGTAAATTTGAGAAATACAGAAGCTCTAAAGGTGCGACAAAATTTCTTTTTTATAAGATGATATTTGCTCCCACTCAATTGAAGTTTGTTAATAGGTTCACAACAAATTATCTTCAGAATACAACAATGCCTGAAATCCTACTGATAGCAATCCTGGGGAATTTCCAAAATGTCATTGTGAAATACTAAAATTGAAAACAGAGGAAATTGGAGATAAATAAAAGATACAAAAATCTGCAAGAGAAACTCCAGTTCATATAGTTTGTAGAGGCAAAAAGTGAACTGTTTATTTAAATAGTAATAATTAATAATTATTATTATTTAAAGGACATGTTTGTTGGTTAACATAACATATCGAAAAATTATTCCATATCCTATGTAGCCATATCATAAATCAATCTCAAATGGTGAGATGGAAAATGGAAGAAAAAAAAAAAAAAAAAAAGGCTAATGTCCAAAACGACGTCGTTTTGGGTATTAGGGGAATTCGGGGGGAGGGAATCCTTGAGCTACCAAACATTATTCTAAATATTTAAACAGTCTGAATAAGTTGAATGAACATTAATGGATGCATTTTAGGTGTTATGTGTTTCCACTTTCATGCATAATCTCCGTCAAATTAATAATTAATGTTGGGTCATAAATTTAATTTAATTTTTTTTTATGAATTTTTAAAATCTGATCAATTGCATTTTATGAAATGCATGTGCAAGGAGTATTTGATTTATTGGCCCCGTTTGGTAGAGTTATGAGAAAATAATTATAACTTATAATCTAACAGCTTATAACTTATAGATGTGAACATAAGTTGATTTTTGACTTATAAATTAAGATTATCCTCCCTCACTCAAAGAATATGTTGATTTTTGACCTACAAAAAGCTATAAGCTGTATTGTTAAGCTGAACCAAACACATCAAAATAACTTAAATTAAGCTAAAAATTAAAATAAGCTGAAAATAAGCCCTACCAAACAGGACCATTGAAATTAAGTGGAGTAGAATGATTGTTTTATTAAAATGGATTTTGCCTTTAAAAAAATAATAATAAATACATTATAAATAAAATAATGATTTATCATTTTAATGGAATGATTATTCACTCCCTAACTCTATTTCAGCGAACAAATAGAGAATTTATGGGGGGTTTGTTTGGACGGACTGGATAAGGGAGATTCTAATCTATCGGACTATTAGTCTTAGGATACATTATCTCCAGACTATTTAGTTGGATTGGATTTATATCCTATGTTTGTTTAGTCATGAGATTAGATGTCTAGATTTGATTATTTTTAGTGAATCTAATATTTGGTTGAACGGACTAGATAAGGATAAATATTCAAAAAATTATTTTACTCTTGTAATTTATAATTTTTATTTAACATATAACTTAAAATTTATGATCTATAATTTATAATTTAACAACACTAAAAAATTTTAATTTATAAGGCCATAATTTTTAATTTATTATTTTCAATTAAATTAAATTTATAATTTATATTTTTTACTTAATATATAATTTTAAATTAACAACACTAAAAAAATAATTTATAAATGTTCAAAAGATTATGTTACCATTTTCCAATTGTTTATTAAGTAATAACATGAGGGTAAAATGAACATTTCACACATTAATCCCATGTGATAGCAATCCCATGAAAATAATCACACCCCTCCCCCTAGGATACAATAATCCCTCATATTAAGGACTAATAGTTCGGAGATTAATTTATTATTTTTAATTAAACTTAATTTATAATTTATAATTTATAATTTTTATTTAATATATAATTTTAAATTAACAACACTAAAAAATAATTTATAAATATTCAAAAGACTATTTTATCCTTTTCCAATTGTTTATTAAGTAATAGCATGAGGGAAAAATAGACATTTCACATATTAGTCCCATGGGATACCAATCTCATGAAAATAATCTCACGCTCCCCCGTAGGATACAATAATCCCTCGTATGAGGGACTATTAATCCAAAGTAAAAAAATTGAACCAAACAATAAACTATTAGTCCAAATGAAATAATAGTCTAATCCCATGAAATAATCCCTCAAAACAAACACACTAAGGCCATGTTTGTTTGGGCGGACTGGATTAGCATTCCCAAGACTCATAGTCCTAGGACTACGAATCCGTTGGATTATGTATCCTATCTTAACTAATAGTCAAGTTTAAAATAATTAATCCGTACTTCAATTGTTTAACCAAACATCGGATTAATAATTTTATTGGACTATTAGTCCAATCCCAAGCTCATGTCCACCCAAACAAACATGACCTTAGTATACAAATGATGATAAAATGGTAAAAATACAAGATGTTTCCTTAAGCCTGTCAAATTGGGTATTGTTTGTTTAAGATATCTAAGTCATTTGGAAACTACGTACGTTGTATTTATGACAACATAGAAAACATGCTCTGCTGAATGCATTTTCTAGACATAAAGTTAGGTCTGCATCACTTTCATAGTAACTTAATAATTTACTATGTGATATGGTTTTGTCCTGTGGGCATATGCGGAAGTCAAAAACCATATAATGAGAAGGATCACAATCCAAAAGCAGAGTTGGGCATGCACCTCATTGTGAGCACTCAATCCATGGTGAGAAGTCAAGAGGACAAGTACTAAAAGATCTCTATGAAATAAATAAGATTGAACCAACGAGGTTAATCCGTTGGTCAAGACTCGAGAGCCTTGCACATCAACTATAGATTATATATTTTAACCCTTTTCTATCTTATATGAGATTTTTGTTGCGTGATCATCACTAATATGAAAATTAAAAAGCACTCTAAATATGAGTATGAAGGATAATCGTTGAGATTAACCCAATTACCATAACTTTTGTACGAGATCGTTTAACTACCCCTTCACCTCCAATGAAAAGAAAAAAGAAAAAAAAGAAAAAGAAAAGGGAACACAAGGAGACACATGAGATTGATAGAAATTCCAAGCTAGCTGTGGACATCCAAAGTGCACAAATAGATTATATAGAGTAAATGTATTTATTAACAAATAGAAAATGAAGAGTGTATCTATATTAGAAATAGAAAGATAAAGAACCCTTTTTAAACTTCATCATCATCATCATTTCTTTTCATCTTTCTTCTCACCTTTCTTCTCATCTTTCTTTTCTTCTTTAGCTGGACCAACTGATACGATGTCTATTTTTCCTATTTTCTTCAGTTTCTTGGCTATTGCAATGGCGTCCATTTCACCTATGATTGTCATTTTCTGATCCTTCAAATCAGCTGCTATTGAATCAACTCCTGATGATCAAAAGAGCCACTTACAGTCATAAAACTTTCAATATTAGTATTGAAATGTGTTGTGGCAAAGGCAAAGATTGAGAAAAGCTAAAACAGAATAACCAAACTGGCAAAGAAAAATTACATTGTTTGGCAATAGAACGACATAAAGTAATAAACTGGATTAAAATAGACTCAAATACAAATTCAAAATGGACCCCCACGACGATCATTTACCCGTTAATAACAGGTAATAAGCATATCATAATTGGAGTAGAATTCAAGATCCACCCACAACAAAATGCTTTTACTATGTAACTAAGAAATCAATTCAATCATGAAAATGACTTGAATGCACATATTACGTTTCTTGAAATCCAGAATTTCAGATCTAACGTGAAAATTAGCTATTTGATTTTGGAAATGCTGTGCAAAGGTCTGGTAATACCATAAATGTCAGCAACAGCCTCTATGGCTTTCTGCTTGGTCTTTTCATCGGTCATGGTCATGATCTTCAGCACTACCTTCTGCTATAAAAATTTCACAACAACAGAGAAAACAGAGATTAGAATACAATCATTCATCATCATTAATTTTGTTTACCATAAGAGAAACCTCAGAATTAAGTGGAGAAGAGAGTACCTGTGCCATTTGAGGATATAATAAGATAATGAAGATTGAAGTTGGAGATAGAAGGGTATTGATGAAAGGTTTTAAAGAGTGAAAATTGCGAGTCTTAATGCATATATATATATATACAATTTTGAGAAGGGGTGGTTGCAATGTATCAGATCAAGAGGTGGGTTAGTCAATGTGGACCAGGGCACCACTAGTTCAAAAGGCAGGTACTTTTTTTTCCCGTTTCTTTTCAAGATTCTCTTGGTGAATGAAAGGAGATTAACCCCCACACACTTGCTCATAAAATTGTTGAATGTCCTCAAAGTATCACGTATTTTTACTTCTTAATTAATTATCATTTAATATGTCTCTTCATATTTTTTAATCACCCAACACAATATCTCACCTACTCACTCTCCATCAATCATAATACTATGGAATACCATGTCTCCATATTTTGAAATTACTAAATAATTACTCCTTTGTTCATGCCTTTTCTTCATTGGAAACTGTTGGAGAAAATACCAGAAATAATGACCATTAAACAAAAAAATGGTTACACCAAAATAATAACCATTAAACAAGAAAATACTTACACCAAAATAATGACCATTAACCAGGTTCATGAATTCTATTTAACCTCCATTTATGACCAAGAGGTAACAAGAAAATGGTTACACCAAAATAATGACCATTAACCAGGTTTATGAATTCTATTTACCCTCCATTTATGACCAAGAGGTTACCAAAGTGATAAAATCCCATTATGAAAAAGATAAACCAATAAATAAATATAAGATATTAAAATGATTCAACAGAAACTTGTGCTGTCCTGGGTTAATTTTCCTCTTCACTAATGTGGTACACTTATAAAGTACTAATATTCTATTCTTCAATAAAAATATAAATATGGTTGTTTTAAAAAGTGATTTATAAGTTAATTTTTTGGTTTATTATGAAAAAATATGTAAAAAATAGAGAAATGATATAACTTAAATAAATTAATAAACCAATAATCTAGCTTATAAGCCAATTCCCAAAAAGGCCTATATCTCAAGAATATGTCGAAAATACAATAATTCAGAATTGTTAAGAATCATCATATTGGGTGATAGATATATGTATTAAGAAAATGCATGTAAGTGTTTAATATGGTTACCTTAGAATATGTATTAAAAAAATAAATAAATTAGGAATGTGTGATACATGTAGCTAAAAATTTTCATATAGTCCTGTATAAATGATATCATAGTACGAATCAAGATCCTCTGCCGTGGTAACTTGCAACCAAAACGACGTCGTTTTATTAAGTGTTTTTTCCCCCTCATAACTCTCTTTTCCTTTCTCTCTCATCCATTACAACCTAAACCTAACGGACAAAACCAGAATAGAGGAACTGAGAGAGAGAAGCTGAAGAAATAGAGTCGGCAAGCGAGTCAGCGGTGAGACGAGGCGAGGCGAAACGGCGGCGGTGAGGCTAGGCGAGAGAGGAGGAGCTCACATACCCTAGATCTAGGGTTTTCAAAGAGAGATCGGCGAAAAAAACAGAACACAGAGCCATGGAAAGCTTCATTGCCTACAACACAAAGTGATGAACATAGATCTACTACTTGTATTGTTCCTATTTAATATCAATGAACCCATTTGTTTTAAAATTTTAGACTTTTATGATAATAATAACCCTATACAAATCAAATTTAGAGATGATTGTTTAACTGGGAAGCTTCTTCATATGTGAACAATTAACTTTAAGTTGTGAGCTTCTTGCCAACACTTTCTGCCCCTATATTCTTGTGAATGTGTGAATCTTTGTATGTGTTGCCGATGTATTGCATCGGTGATGAAAAGATGAGAAATAGGGGCTCCATTAACATAAAGGTTTGGGATGGAGGTGGAGGTGGGTTGCAGAGGCGAGGTGGTAGGTGTAGGGAGGGAGGGCTTGGTAAATGGTTTGGGATGGTGAGCTCGCCGGAAAAGGAGTGGCGACGAGATTTCCGGCGATATTTCTGTCCTTTCTTCTCTCAGTGTCTTCCTTCTCTTTCTTTCTTTTCATTTTTTGTTTTTTTCTTTTTCTTTTTGTGACCCCAAAACGACGTCGTTTTGGGACAATGCAGGAAACCATGGCAAAAGATCCGAACTCGTCGTTTTACAATTCTTTAACCCAAGAAAATTAGAAATATATTGATATTGATATATTTGTGTGAGATTGTAACATGCCCAGGGGGTACCCGCGTGCGTTAAACAGTTCGGACTCCCGAGATCTCTTTGATCTAGTCTCACGAGTGCAATGTGAAACATAGATGAGAGTCCAGATTTGGCAACTTTTATTGAAAATCCATTTTATTGCAATTTTGTCAAAAATGGACTGCGTCATCAGATCTCAGAGTCGCCACCTAATATTTATTTTGGGAAAATTAGGAAACCCATGACTCATGCCAAGGCCACTGTTCGTCGTAACCAAGGATGCTTGGCTCGGAACCTTAGGTATGAGAGGGGAAGGTCAATAATGAGCACCCCCGCCCACCCGATCAAAGATCGGCCTTTACTAACCACGATATGAATTTTATTTTATTTATATGTTCATGTTCTGATTAATTAATAAATCCTAAAATTTACTATGTGAAGCATACAAGTATAGACTATGTCACCCATTTTGGAACAACTTGATTTCATGTAGTTTTGAAAGAGTTTTGAAAATGTATAACCCAAATAAATTGAGTTTACAAACATGAAAATCAACATCATTCCAAATTAAGCGACACAACCTCCATCCACTGGCATTCACAGGCAAGAATATAAAATATAGACGATATAAAAATATAAGAAAATGAAAGATTAAAAATTCACCTTCCAAAAGAAAGATTGAACTTCTTGATTTCCAAACTTCCTCTTGATCACCCTCAAGTGTAGGAAGTGTGTTCTCAAATCCTCAATTCAAAATTATGGAGTTTATGGAGTTTGTGGGTATGAGAAAGGGCTAACTCTCTAGTTTTTCTCACTTCAATCACTAAACATTCTTCCTTATGATCGAGGCGATTGATCTTTGGCTATATCAGAATTTTTGGAGTGGTTTTGGTGTATGGAAATGAGGAATTTCAGTAGTCTATGGAAGGTATGGGGTGTATATGGAAGATAGGAATATTTTTGGCCTAAAAAACTCAAATTTTCTCTCTTTTTTCACTCTTTCTCACTCTC